GTAAACCCGGGAGGCAGAGCTTGCAGTGAGCTGAGATCTGGCCACTGCACTCCAGCCTGGGTGACAGAGGGAGACTCCGTCTCAAAAAAAAAAAAAAAAAGTGGGAAAGGATATGAACAGACACTTCTCAAAATAAGACATTTATGCAGCCAACAGACACATGAAAAAATGTTCATCATCACTGATCAGAGAAATGCAAATCAAAACCACAATGACATACCATCTCACACCAGTTAAAATGGCCATCATTAAAAAGTCAGGAAACAGCAGATGCTGGAGAGGATGTGGAGGAACAGAAATGCTTTTACACTGTTGGTGGAAGTGTGAACTAGTTCAACCATTGTGGAAGACAATGTGGTGATTCCTCAAGGATCTAGAACTAAAAATACCATTTGCCCCAGCCATCCCATTACTGGGTATATACCCAAAAGATTATAAATTATGCTACTATAAAGACACATGCACACGTATGTTTATTGCAGCACTATTTACAATAGCAAAGACTTGGAACCAACCCAAATGTTCATAGATGATGGACTGGATTAAGAAAATGTGGCAGATATATGCCATGGAATACTATGCAGCCATAAAAAATGATGAGTTCATGTCCTTTGCAGGGACATGGACGCAACTGGAAACCATCATTCTGAGCAAACTATCGAGCAAACTTTGGACAGAAAACCAAACACCCCATGTTCTCACTCATAGGTGGGAACTGAACAATGTGAACACTTGGACACAGGGGCAGGGAACATGGCACCCCAGGGCCTGTCGTGGGGTGGGGTGCAGGGGGAGGGATGGAATTAGGAGAAATACCTAATGTAAATGACGAGTTAATGGGTGCAGCAAACCAACATGGCACATGTATACCTATGTTACAAACCTGCAGGTTGTGCACATGTACCCTAGAACTTCAAGTATAATAAAAAAATACTGATTTTTAAAACTGGCTTAACTACTTTTAGTAAGGGGAAATATGACAAAATCTAGTAAAATTCAGGATATGCACATCCTAAAACCCAGGAATTCTACTCCTAAGAATTATATTTAGCTGAGAGAATCTTCTGTATATAAGGAGACTGGTACAAAAATTCATCATATCATCATTGTTACTGTTTGCAAGCAATTAGAAACTAGCTGATTATCCATCAACAGAAGAATAAATACATTGTGGCATATTTACATAATAGAATACTGTACAGCACTGAAAAGGAAGTTCAAACCATGTTTGAACATGAGGCAGCAGTTTCCAATACAGTCTAAATTAACACACAAAATCCAGTATTTATATCATTCATTAACAAGCTGATTCTGAAAATGTAATCTTTTACCAAATACAATTCCTATGTATATTTTCAATCCATTCTAATCCAGTTGAGCGAGAACACACAGAAGACTACTGTTTTGACTAAGTTTAGTATACAGCTCTTCCTTTAAATTGTCTTGTAAGAGTTATGTGCTCCAAGAGCACTTTCCCTAGAGCTGATGAAGTCAGTGCTTTTGGAATGCAGCAGTCCAAGACCTGACATAAAAATACCAATGAATCAATAGTTCACAATATCTTCAAAAAGTGTTTCTTCAAAGACTATCAAAAATCTTAAACTCTTATTATAGGAATATGAACACCAAAAGGCACGTTATTTCCCTTATGATTACACAGAATCTGGATAATTTCTAAAATTGCATGGTTGAGGTTTAAAAGGTCAGATAGATAATATTAGACCCATTCATAAATTATAAAATATATTTCATTCCCAGTCAACATTTGGCTTTAAGTCTGTCATGAGGGCCTGGGATTTGTCTTATATATTTAATAATGTATTTCATTTTTCTTGGAAAAGCTAAAAGAAGGTTAAAGTCATGGGTCATAGCCTCTAATGAGATCATTCATTTCACAAAGGGGAAAGTTATTTTATGCCTGTAAAGATGTATACACCCTGCCTGTAATGCAGCCTATTTTTCCCAATGAGAAGTAGATAAGAGAGGTGTACTTCTCCTCCTCCTTTTATAGATGATTAAGATGAAACTCAAGAAAAGTAAGACCTTTCCACAGTCACACAAATGTAGATAATATTTAAATGCATCGTGACCTCTGGAAAATATAAATATTAATAGGTGTTCTAGTAATTCTTTTTATTGCAGTTCTTTTTATTGTTCTAGTAATATATCGTTCCACAAGCATGGCTTATCAACTACCTTTTGGCCTGCTATTTCTGGGCCCCATCCTGTCTGCTAACCCTATGGTAAACCCTTTGAGTAGATGAGGATGAGGTTAATGCTGATGTGTTTGGCAAACCTCTAGTGAGATTACTTATCAAATAAGCTCCATAGTTGCTGCTATGATCTGGATGTGGTTTGACCCTGCCAAAACTCATGCTGCAATTTAACTGCTGATATAATTAAATGTTGAGAGGTAGTGGGATCTCTAAGAGGTATTTGGGTAATGAGGGATCTGCTCTCATGAAGGGTTAATGCAGTTTCACAGGGGTGAGTAAGTTCTTGCTCTCGGGTTGTTATAAAGTGAGGCTGCCTCTTGTGTTTGGTCTCTTTGCAAACACCCACTCTCCTGTCTGCTTTCTGCCATGACATGAGGCAGCATGAGGTGTTCACAGATAGGCTGTATGATCCTGGACTTCCCAGCCTCCAGAATCATGAGCCAAATAAACTTCTTTAATTTACAAATTACCCAATCTCAGATATTGTTATAGCAACAGAAAACAGACTAAGACAGTTGCCAAGCCTAACTGGGCTTCACTTCATACTATTTAGGCCAGCGGGCCTCAACTATGGTTGCAACATTGGAATCATCTGAGGAGCTTTAAAAAGTACTGAAGTCACTTGTAATTACACCACTTTTGGTGGCCAAAGCAGGCAGATTGCTTGAGCTCAGGAGTTCGAGACCAGCCTGGGCTACATGGAGAAACCCTATCTCCATGGACAAACCAAAAATACGAAAAAACTTAGCTGGGTATGGTGCTGCACACCTGAATCCCAGCTCCTTGGGTGACTGAGGTAGGAGGAACATTCGAGCCCAGAAGGCAGAGGCTGCAGCAAGCCCAGATATTGCACCATTGCGCTCCAGCCTGGATCACAGAGCGAGACCTCATCACACAAACACACACACACACACACACACACACACACACACACACACAACACTTTAGTCGAGGAACTATCCCCTGAGATTTTGATTTAATTGCTCTGGGGTGCAATTCTAGTCATGGGAATTTCCCCCCTACTTTTTTTCTAGAGACAGGGTCTCACTTTATTACCTAGGCAGGAGTGCAACGGCATGATCATAACTCACCATAGCCTCCAAATCCTGGGCTCAAGTGATCCTCCCACTTGGGGCTTCCACCCGAGCCTCCCAAGTAGCTGGGATTACAGGCACTTGCCATCATGCTTGCCTAATTTTTATTTATTTTTTTGTAGAGATAGGGTCTTGCTATATTGCCCAGGCTGGTCTCAAACTCCTGGCCTCGAGCCATTCTCCTGCCTCAGCCTCCCAAAGTGTTGGAAACAGGCATGAACCACGATGCACAGCCTCCCTCAACATTTTATAAAATGTTTTAAACGTATAGAAAAATGGAAAGAATTTTACTGTGAACATGCATACACCAACCATCCCATCCAAATTCTACCATTAATATTCTTTTATTTGCTTATCACATATCTATCCATTTATCATTTCCTCTCTCCATCCATCAACCTATTTTTTCTATGCTGCATTTCAAAGTAAGTGGCAGATATTATACACTTCCCAGCATGAGGAATTTTAAAAACTGCCTAGTGATTCTAATGTATAGCTAAGACTTAGCACCACTGATTTGGATTTCAGTGTTTCCACTGGAGTTAGTTTAAGTCAAAGCTTACCTGTATCAGTTTCAGGCTTCCTGCTCTGGGGTACCATAGGGACAAAACCCGCAGGCAGCAAAAGAACAGTATCATCACATTCACTCAATTGCCTCTGAGTCTGTTTCCAGGTTTTTTTCTTTTTAGAAATGTGTTTTAAAAATTCAGCAAAAAGAGGTATAGGCTTTCTACATTCTCAGGGAATGACCACACATAAAATGATTACAATAAAGCTTCAAGTAGTCACAGAATGGGTTTTGGCTTCACAATTTTAGGTTTCAGCAACTATGGAATGTAAACAGAAGTCACCTGGCTATCGATGAGGCCACAAACTTAGGGATGTCCAGAGACTACAGACTTAGTAAATGACAGAGCTAGGTATTCTCAAAATTTAGCATATGTAATTTGATAATTGGTATTTTTAAAATTCAGACAAGAAAAATCAGAAAATAAATCTCATACCTGGAGTTTTCCCTTTTCATAGGCCAGTTTATTTTTACTTTCAGTAATTTTTCCCAAGATTTTTTCCACCTTCTGTTGGGCAAGCTGATAAGGCAAACACAGACATCAGAATCTCTAGGCATAGAAAAGAATAACCATTTTCATTTTTAAACACGTATTTACATCCTTACCATTTCTATCATCATAAGATCAAGATTCCTATCTATTTGCTACTGCTGCTTTTAGTCTTTCCCTACATAGTTGATCACAGGGCTAATATGCAACACGTACAGAAGACTGCTAATAAAAGCATGAAGCCTTAAGAGTACCAGAGTTGGTTGGTTTTGTATATTAACTCTTTTTTTGTTATGTCAGTTACTCCTTTGTAGTTGTGACCCAACACGGATGTGGTGTGGTTGTATCAGTGACTGCAGGTAGTCTGTGGAGCATTACACAGTTCTTTACAGAAACAGCAGCTGCAAGTGACCAGGACCACTGACAGCAGAAGGCACCTCACTTACTATGGTAAAAAGCAGTTTAGAAAAATCTCAGAAACAAAATAAATGTTTACTGGAGACTCAAACTCATTGTTTGATCAAATACTCAACACAGTATTATCTGGGGCAAACATTATCAAAGGTTCCATATTTCACGAAATTGCATATTTTCATTATTCAGACAGCCTTTAATAATGACAGTTATTTTTTCATATCCTGTTGTTCTCAGACTATATCAGAAAAAATAAGTACAAAATTTAAATTTGGGGCCATATTGGTACTTTCTTTATATAAGGGGCACCATTAAGTGATTGAACATGGAAATTTTCACTCTTCACAATCAATGCCAGTGCTATATCTTAATAACAGGAAATATTGCCATATGTCAAAATCACCTTCATAAACCAAATGTGGAGATAATGCACACAAAGCAAATGTGACTGAAGACACAAACTCTTAATCACTCATAAGCTAACTAGCTGCACTATGGATCATTTGCAGTAAATCTTAAGTTCAAAGTCTTATTAATGTTGGTAAGTATCTTATATTGACATCATTCACTATTTCTGGTTTATATTTGCTTATTTTGTGAATAACAGAGTGCCTTTTAGGCATTTTAAGACAAAGAATTTTAGACTTTTGTTTTATGTTCAATTTTAGGTAAGCTGATAAAGATAAAACCCATGTATTAATTTACATAAGAGTATTCCTCACTACCTCCAACATGATTACAGCTATTCTTTAGTCACCACTTTGTAATATCCTTTAAGTGTGTGAACCTACCACACATGCTTCTAAATAAAAGCAAAAACACATTCCAAACTAGATTACTATAATCTGTAACTCATATTTTCCTCTGTTCAAAATATTTTCTATGAGAAGGCACACTAAGCTGGGCACAGTGGCTCACACCTGTAATCCCAGCACTTTAGGTAGCTGAGGTGGGAGCATCACTTGAGGCCAGGAATTCAAGACCAGTCTAGTCAACATAGTAAGACCCTGTCTCTACAAAACATTAAAAAATTAGCTGGGCACAGTGGTGCATGCCTTTAGTCCTAGTTACTTGAGAGTTTGAGGAGGCAGAATTGCTTGAACCCAGCTGGTGGAGGCTACAGTGAGCCATGATGGTGCTATTGCACTCCAGCCTGGAAGACACAGCAAGACCCCCATCTCCTTTAAAAAAAAAAAAAAAAAAAAAAAAGTTATAGTAGTCTGGAGCATTGTTTTCTCCTTAGTAGTTGCCTTGGCTAGAAGAATTTTCATTTTTGACATTCAACACTTGATAAACATCAATGGAAAAACCATAAAGAATTAGCCCTTGTATACCATCTACCCTAAAATCATACACCTTTAACATAAAAACTTATACCCAATATTAGGCTTTGGTGGATTATTAACTATTAGACCAAGTATTTGTCCTGTCAGAATATTTATTTCATACATTATTATACATATTCATAATTCAGTTTTTAAAAGTTTTAAAAATTACTGTGTTGCTCCCAGTAAGGCAAAGGAAAATATGTTTTAAAAAGCATTTAGACCAGTAGAGTATTGGTTTCAAAATAACCTGAGGAAAATGTAGACTGCTATCAATAAACAGGAAACTGGTGACCATAAATATATTATCACAAAATCAGCTCATCATCAATTAATTTTCTATCTGTGGAAAACACAGTCCTCTTTGCCAAAATATTATCTATTTTGGGAACTATGATGCAAAATCATTCCATGAATGTAACATTACAATTTAGGATTATGTTGACCAAGTTTTCAGCAGCAAATAAACTGTAAGGATGATCAATAATACCACAAAAGCAAAGCTACAATAACAATAAAAGCTTAATTATTTAAAATTCGATTCAAACTTCTACAAATTAAGATGTCTCAGTGTGCTGTAAAGCATAGGTAAGAACATATAAAAAAACAAGAACTAGAGTTAACCTAAAATATGCTAGCTCTAACAAATACTAAACACTCAAAAATAACTATCTTCTTGAAATGGAGAAAGGTTTTTTTTTTTTTTAAGAATAACTTAAATTATCTGGGTCTTCTATAAAAGGTGACCAGAAATTTAAAAAATAATGGCGCTTTTTCCCCATCAATACAATTCCCTCTTTCAGGCAAAGGCATGAAGAACTTCCATTAATCTTTTAAATATACTTTTAAAATAATAATTTTCCCATTATGCCACCAAAGAGAGTGCTAATGTACTAAATGAAAATTGAGCAAAATCAAAATGTGGTATTATTTGACAAAGGTTCACTTATTTAAATATTATGACACACACAGAAAAATTGTTCCAAGTTGCTAAGGGAAAGTGGATGTTAAGGCAGTTACTTAAATTACTGTTTACAGATTAAATAGACCCTGTACCTGTACAGGAGACCGGAAATTAGAAACCACTTAAATAAGTGAGTATCTCAGGTTCTGAGTTGTAGAAGACTGAACTGAAATTAACTTTTGCTTAAATACTCTTGGTAATATACTATAAACATGATTAGCATATAGACCAAAACAGAAACTGGGGAATCATTTGAGAAACATCATACAGAGAAAAATACCAAGCATTAGAATATGAATTCTAACTCAGAAACACAAAGCACTCTTTGGAAAAGCAGAAAGTAAAAATAGGAAGAATTACCTTAAGATGAAAGATAGGTTGCCAAAGATCAACAGTAAGCCACCAAATTATTTCTAAAATCATTTTTAAATCCACGTGAGCTGTACAAGTTAGCAGAAGCTGTTAGAAGAATACACAAAACCAGTAGGATACTGGCATCTTGGTAAAGCTATTTTATAAGTAGATTGTAAGCATTTTTTAAAGTTTTTGATTATTTTGAATTTTTTATTCAAAATATTTAACAACAGTATGACATGAGCCCCAGAAAATCAAACCAACTTTGACATCTGCATGAGTGTACACTGACAATGTCATCCTGGTTTTAAGAAATAATATATTTTAGTTCATTTTCTAATTTCAAGTCTTTAAAGTCCCAGTTGTATAGGCAATTATGTTTCTGTCTGGTGCTACAATTTTAAAATATATGTTTAAACCCCAAAAGAGAAGTGGGGAGGAAAATCATTCAAACTGAACTCAGGCATAGTAACCTTCCTACATTTCGGTCTTTTCTTACTGTGGGTCCCTGCGTGACTGCCAGTGGTAATGGAATTAAATTGCACTATCACTACAGGCTAAAATGGCAAAAAAAACAAAAAACAAAAAAAAAACCCTGAAATTACAAAATATGAAAGAAAAAGCAGAGAGAATAATATTATTGCAATATGACATTAATCCTTACTGCCTGGCAAAACAGACATGACCTTCTTTGTATTCCAGTCAATCAATGTTTTTAAAGCACCTATTATGTATTAGGCATTATGCTAGGCAAGAGAATATAAAGATGAATACTGTTCTTGCATTAGAAGAGAATGAGGGCAGATGCATAAACAGGTCAATTTCTAATCAATGTAGTAATTATTCTGATATGTGTGTGCAGAGTGTACTGTGGGATACCTACACTAGGAAAGATCCTCTTGGCATTGCAGGCCATGAGAGGTTAAGAACCTGCCCAGGTCACACAGTAAATGGAGGTTGAAACCAGATCTATCTGAATTCAAGTTTGTGATGTTACACACACAACACACAGTCTTATGTGTATCTCCAAAAATCGATGAGGGGTTAGACCAGAAGGCACCTTTTATAAAGAATTTCAAGTTTTAACTCTCAAAGAACAAAAATACACTGCCAGCATTGAATGACAATAGATTTAATGATACTGCTAAGATTCAAAAACAAATCCTGAAATCCCTAGCTCATTCCTCAAACTCATATAGCCAACTGAAGCATTTCCCGGCAGGCATGGTCAGAGACACTTCTGGGTGGAGACAGAACTGCAAGCTAGAACTGCGTTATCTATGAGTCATCACTGGGAAACTGTAATCAAGGCGTGGTAGACAGGCAAAAATCAACACTGACCAAATCACTGGCAAGATCTGTCAAAGTCATTAATAGGGTAAGGCTAGGCCTGTTCACTGGCAATGGATTCAGGAAAGAATCAGTCAGATTGAGAATGTGGTCTTCCAAAGGAACCCAGCTGAGTCTTGCCAACCAGCAATGGACATGGCTGAATCTTTAATTCTGTGGAGAGAGGGGGTTGGTCTGAAATAGTATCAGGGATTACAGCTAACGGATCTTGTCATTCCAATAGGCACTTATATGTAATTTTTTTTTTCTCTGAGACAGTTCAGATACTAAGAATTCAATAAATGTTAGCTATCTGCCACATGTTCTGTATTAATTTACTTAACCTCAAACATCCACACAGTTATAGCATTATTATCCTCATTTTGATAGATTAAGAAACTGAGGCTCAGTGAGGTTAAGGATCATACCTGAGGTCACAGCCAAAACTGAAAAGCAGGAAATGTGGCTTGAAAACCATGACCATATAAGAAGATTTAGACTTAGTCTGTATAATTTTTCATAGTTGAAGTAATGAGCAGCTTATAACAGTTTGAAAGACTTTAGCTCAGATTAAAACAGACTCACAATGAGGTCTTCCAGGAATTCTCAAAGATTATTTGCATGCTTAAAAGCAGTAAGTAATACTTTTTCATGTATTTGAAAGCACACAGGAAAATTATTAGCTACTTAATGGAATGACCTTATTTTTAAATCCCCTTTACTTGGAGAAGATTTTTTTTTTTTTTGAGACGGAGTCTCGCTCTGTCGCCCAGGCTGGAGTGCAGTGGTGTGATCTCGGCTCACTGCAAGCTCCGCCTCCCAAGTAGCTGGGACTACAGGCGCCCGCCACCACGCCCGGCTAATTTTTTGTACTTTTAGTAGAGACAGGGTTTCACTGTGTTAGCTTAGCCAGGATGGTCTCGATCTCCTTTCCTCGTGATCCGCCTGCCTTGGCCTCCCAAAGTGCTGGGATTACAGATGTGAGCCACCATGCCCAGCCTGGAGAAGATGTTTTAAGAACTGTACTATTTATTTGTAATGCACTGACCTTGTCCAACAGCCTTCAGAAATCAGACTTATTACTGGTTGCCTAATGGAGGAAACTGATGAGAAAAAAATACGAGTTTCTTCCTCATAATTTATGGAAGTGGAACTATTTTAAAACATTAGATATATTTGTACTTTTCAGTAACACAGATTGTTTGTGAAGGCAAATGTTTAACAAATCCCTTAAACTCTTGGTTTCTCAAATTTGCTATTGTTTGAATACTGTAAGAATCTCTGCTTTATTTATTCTGAATTATTCAAGATTTATAATAATTATGAAAACACAAAGAAAATCCATCTCCTGACCTCTGGTTGTTGTTATTTCTGAACTCATTAGTCATTAATTGCTATTTAGACTGACCTTTTTATACCCACCCCATGGTAATCAGAAGTGACTTGCTGAAGTTCTAGGGAAGCCATTTGATCTGCCAGGTGCTTATTCTCTTCTTCAAGAGTCTGCAGGTTATGAGTTAATGTATTTATGTCTACCTTTAAAGAAACAAAAGTAAAAAAGAAACTATTTATGCCAGATCCAAAAAGTATTATCTTATTTTTAAAATGACAATTATAACTGTAAAATGGACAATATGTTCCATATGTTTCCTTGCCTCTAAATGTGGAGATATGACCAATCTGATAGTTCTATGGTTTTTAAATTTTTTTTTAGACGGAGTCTTGCTCTGTCACCCAGGCTGGAGTGCAGTGTTGTGATCTCAGCTCACTGCAACCTCTGCCTCTCGGGTTCAAGTGATTCTCCTGCCTCAGCCTCCTTGAGAAGTGACAACATGCTAGCAGCCCTCACTTGCTCTCGGGCGCCTCCTCAGCCTCAGCATCCACTCTGGCCCCACTTGAGGAGCCCTTCAACCTGCGGCTGCACTGTGGGAGCCCCTCTCTGGGCTTGCGAGGCAGAGTCTGCTTGTGGGGAGGTGTGGAAGGAGTGGCGTGGGCAGGAACTGGGGCTGCCCATGGCCCTTGCGGGCCAGCAGAGTTCCGGGTGGGCGGGGGCTCAGCAGGACCCACACTTGGAGCAGCCAGCTGGCGCTGCCAGCCCTGGGCAGTGAGGGGCTTAGCACCCCAGTCAGCAGCTGCGAGGGGGTGCGCCAGGTCCCCCAGCACTGCTGGCCCCCCTGTGCCACACTGGAATTCTTGCTGGGTCTCAGCTGCTGCCTCCCCACGAGGCAGGACTCGGGACCTACAGCCCGCCATACCCATGCCCAAGCCCCAACCCCTGCTTGGCCCCAGCCTCCCCAACGCTCCCTGCTCTGCAGCACCCAGTCCCATCGACCACCCAAGGGTGGAGGGGTGCAGGCACGCGGCATGGGACTGGTGGGCAGCTCTGCCCACGGCCCTGGCGCAGGAACCACTAGGCAAAGCCAGCTGGGCTCCTGAGTCAGGTAGGTAGTTGGAGAACTTTTATGTCTAGCTGGAGGATTGTATATGCACCAATCAGCACTCTGTATCTAGCTAATCTGGTGGGGACTTGGAGAACTTTTATATCTAGCTGGAGGATTGTAAATGCACCAATCAGCACTTTGTGCCCAGCTCAAGGATTGTAAATGCAGCAATCAGTACTCTGTGTCTAGCTCAAAGTTTGTAAACACACCAATCAGTGCTCTGTGTCCAGCTAATCTAGTGGGGACTTGGAGAACTTTTGTGTCTAGCTAAAGGATTGTAAATGCACCAATCAGCACTCTTCGTCTAGCTAAAGGTTTGTAAATGCACCAATCAGCACTCTGTGTTTAGCTAATCTAGAGGGGACTTGGAGAACTTTTGTGTTCAGCTAAAGGATTGCAAATGCACCAATCAGCACTCTGTGTCTAGCTCAAGGTTTGTAAACGCACCAATCAGCACCCTGTCAAAATGGGCCAATCAGCTCTCCGTAAAATGGGCCAATCAGCAGGATGTGGGTGGGGTCAGATAAGGGAATAAAAGCAGGCTGCCCGAGGCAGCAGTGGCAACCCACTTGAGTCCCTTTCCATGGTGTGGAAGCTTTGTTCTTGCACCGTTGGCAATAAATCTTGCTGCTGCTCACTCTTTGGGTCTGCACTGCCTTTATGAGCTGTAATGCTCACTGCGAAAGTCTGCAGTTTCACTCCTGAAGCCAGTGAGACCATGAACCCACCAGGAGGAACGAACAACTCCAGACGTGCCACCTTTAAGAGCTGTAACACTGTGAAGGTCTGCAGCTTCACTCCTGAAGCCAGCGAGACCATGAACCCACCAGAAGGAAGAAACTCAGGACACATCTGGACATCTGAAGGAACAAACTCCGGACATACCATCTTTAAGAACTGTAACACTGCAAGGGTCTATGGCTTCATTCTTGAAGTTAGCGAGACCAAGAACCCACCAATTCCGGACACACCCTGAGTAGCTAGGATTACAGGCACGCACAACCATGCCTGGAAAATTTTTGTATTTTTAGTCGAAACGGGATTTCGTCATGTTGGTCAGGCTGGTCTCGAACTCCTGACCTTGTGATGCGCCCGCCTCAGCCCCACAAAGTGCTGGGATTACAGATGTGAGCCACAGCGTCCAGCCACTCTATGATGTTTTTAAGAACCCTTTTCTCTGTGTGGTTTGTGGGTCTAATAATTTTTTTAAGAAGAACCCTTTTTCTCTCTCGTCCATTTTTTGAGTTTTTCTAGTTGCCCTCAGTAAAAGGGTTATTGTAAATTATATAGTTCCCCTTTACTCTAAGTTAAAGTCCTTCTGGTATTTACTTAAAGTCAATTCAAGTTTATGAATATAGATGCAAAAATCTTCCAGCCAGGAGCAGTGGCTCACGCCTGTAATCCCAGCACTTTGGGAGGCCGAAGTGGGCGGATCACCTGAGGTTGAGAGTTCAAGACCAGCCTGACCAACACGGAGAAACCTCATCGCTACTAAAAATACAAAATTAGCCGGGCGTGGTGGCACATGCCTGTAATCCCAGCTACTTGGGAGGCTGAGGCAGGAGAATCACTTGAACTCGGGAGGCAGAGGTTGCAGTGAGCCGAGATCACGCCATTGCACTCCAGCCTGGGTAACAAGAGTGAAACTTCATCTCAAAAAAAAAAAAAAAACTTCCACAAAATATTAGCAAAATGAACCCAGCAACACATAAAAAGATAACAAATTAGGACTAAGTGAAGCTTATCTCGGTAATGCAAAGCTTGTTGAACATTCAAAATCGATCAGTATAATATGCCGTTTCAATAGACTATAGAAGAAAACCCACATACCCATCTTAATGCAGTAAAAGAATTTCATAAAATTCAACATCAATTCATTATAAAAACTCAGCAAACTATTAATGAAAGGGAACCTCTAGTTGATTTTAAAAAAAGTATCTATAAGAATCCTACAGCTAATATCAATATTAATAGTGAAAAACTTTCCCCCTAAAACTGGGAAAAGGCAAAGGTATCCACTTTCACCACTCCTATTCCACATCATTCAGGAGGCCATAGCTGGTGCAGTAAGGCAAGATGTTACAATAAGTGACGGGCAAATCTATCGTATTTCTACATATTAACAATGCACAATTGGAAATTCACATTTCATTAAAATGCCATTTAAAACAGTACTAATGCTGTGAAATTCTTTAAGTGCAAATCTAGCAAAATATGTCTAAGATATGATGTGCTGAAAATTACAAAATACTGAGAGAAATAAAAAACCAAAATAAAACAGAGAGATATATAATGTTCATGTACCGACATGTGTTCCATAACAATGTTTCAATCAACGATGGACCACATATACAACAATGGTTGGAGCAACAAGCTACACCATATAACCTAGGCATATCACAGGCTCAAAATAAAGGGATGGAGGAGAATCTACCAAGCAAATGGAAAACAGAAAAAAGCAGGGGTTGCAATCCTAGTTTCTGAAAAAACAGACTTTAAACCAATAAAGACAAAAAAGAAGACAAAAAAGGGCATTACATAATGGTGGAGAGTTCAACAAGAAGAACTATCTTAAATATATATGCACCCAACACAGGAGCACCCAGATTCACAAAGCAAGTTCTTAAAGACCTTCAAAGAGACTTAGACTCCCATACAACAATAGTGGGAGATTTTAGCATTGCACTGACAATATTAGGTCATAGGGACACAAAATTAACAAAGATATTCAGGATCTGAACTGAGCACTAGATCAAATGGAACTGACAGATATTTACAGATCTCCCCACCCCAAAACAACAAACATACATTCTTCTCATTGCCACATGGCACTTACTCTAAAATTGATCATGTTATTGGAAGCAAAACACTCCTCAGCAAATGTAAAAGAACTGAAATTATAACAGTCTCTCAGACCACAACATAATCAAATTAGAATTCAAGACTAAGAAATTCATTCAAAACCACACAACTACATGGTAATTGAACAACCTGCTCCTGAATGACTCCCAGGTAAATAATGAAATTAAGGCAAAATTCAGTAAGTTATTTGAAACTAATGAGAAAAAAAGAGATAACATACCTGAATCTCTGGGACACAGCTAAGGCACTGTGAAGAGGAAAATGTATAGCACTAAATGCCCACATCAAAAAATTAGATCTCAAGTTAACAACCTAACTTCACAACTAAAGGAACTAGAGAACAAAGAGCAAACAAATCTCAAAGCTGGCAGAAGACAAGAAATAATCAAAATCAGAGGTGAACTGAAGGACATAGAGACACAAAAACCATTCAAGAGATCAACAAATCCAGGAGCTGTTTTTGTTTTGTTTTGTTTTGTTTTTGAGATGGAATCTTGCTCTGTCGCCCAGGCTGGAGTGCAGTGGCACGATCTCAGCTCACTGCAACCTCCGCCTCCCAGATCCAAGTGATTCTTCTGCCTCAGCCTCCCAAGAAGCTGGGACGACAGGCCTGTGCCACCACGCCTGGCTAATTTTTATATTTTTAGTAGAGATGAGATTTCACCATATTGGCCAGGCTGGTCTCGAACTCCTGACCTCATGATTCGCCCGCCTTGGCCTCCCAAAGTGCTGGGATTACAGGCATGAGCCACTGTGCCCAGCCCAGGAGCTGTTTTTTCAAGAAAATAAAATAGATAGACTTCTAGCTAGACTAATAAGAAAAGAGAGAAGTTTCAAATAAACACAATCAGAAATGATAAGGGAGATATTACCACTGACCCCACAGAAATACAGACAACCATCAGAGAATCTTAAAAATACCTCTATGTACATAAACTAGAAAATACAGAGGAAAAAGATAAATTTCTAGATATATACACCCTCCCAAGACTTAACCAGGAAGAATACATTGAATCCCTCAACAGACTAATAACGAGTTCGGAAATTGAGGCAGTAATAAATAGCCTACCAACCAAAAAAAGCCCAGGATCAGACAGATTCACAGCTGAATTCTATCACAGGTACAAAGAAGAGTTGGTATCATTTCTACTGAAACGATTCCGAAAAAACTGAAAAGGAGGGACTACTCTCTAACTTATTCTATGAGGCCAGCAGCATCCTGATACCAAAACC